TCAAACAAGAATGAGAAATGAATTGCTGATTTCATCCTAAAAGAGAATAATAAAGAAGGAAATGTGTTGATAGTTGAAACTCAGTGTGGAATTATTCATTCTTTTTTTGTGAGCATGGGTCTCTAAAGCAATTTTGGGTCCAAATAGCAATATTACGAGGAAGCATTCCATGCACTGTGGATGTTTTCTAGGCCATTTGGCACTGGCTTTCAAGAAAAGGCTGTTTTTGTGGACTTCAGCGTGGAGTGGGCCCTGGCAGAGGCACCAGTGGCCTTGCTGTGCGTTTGACAAGTTGGCCCAGGGAGCCACACGATGGGGGAATGCAGATGAGGGGTGTGCGTGTCACAGAAAAGAGAGAGATGCTGATTTGGCCTGGCTTTCTGTTTTAATGTTCCCTGTCCCTACATTTATTAGCATAGATTTCTAAGCATCTAGTTTTTCAAATAGGTGATAACAACAAAAACAATCAATAACGAGGGACACGCCACTCTAGCCTTTGAGCTATGTCCTTTAAGACATAATTGTTTTGTAGGGGTTTGAATATTCTTCCTTCGAACACCTGCAGAACTTTTTCCTTGAAGCCAAGAACAATGTAAAAGATTCTAACAGTCCAATATTCTACTTTTCAGACACAAAAACAACTGAGAAACACTATTCTATATAATGTAGCTACTGTATGGTAGACTGTTATATTAGTCCGTTTTCACGCTGCTGATAAAGACATACCCAAGACTGGGAAGAAAAAGAGGTTGAATTGAACTTACAGTTCCACATGGCTGGATGGGGCAGCGGGGGTCTCAGAATCATGGTGGGAGGTGAAAGGCACTTCTTACATGGCGGCGGCAAGAGAAAATGAGAAAGAAGCAAAAGTGGAAACCCCTGATAAAACCATCAGCTCTCGTGAGACTTATTCACTATCACGAGAATAGCATGAGATAGATCGGCCCCTATGATGCAGTTACCTCCCCTTGGGTCCTTGCCACATTCACAACATGTGGGAATTCTGGAGATACAATTCAAGTTGAGATTTGGGTGGGGACACAGCCATACCATGTCAACTGCACATTCCATTTTCACAAAATTGTGAGTTACAAACATTTTTTCTTTCATAAATTTCATTAATAGCAATTGTGCTTATAAGGTTTATTGATCTATAGTACATCCTTATAGAGTGTATCCACTCAGTAGTTCCATGGTATAATGTAGCTTTACCAAAAAGCAGCACTGGAACATTCATTCCTTTTTTTATTTGTAATTACATCTTTTTAAAGTAATATCATTTTTAATTGGCAAATTATAATTGTATACATTTATGGGGTAAAAACATTCATTCTAAAATTCATAATTTATCCTTGATTTTCTGTAAATAAAGCTTGTAAATATTGAGTTCTAAAGACTACATGTCAAAAGATAGCATTGAGTTAATCAGAATACTCATTTTCAATAACTATTTTTAATTTCATATTATCAATATATATTAGGTTTATGTAAAGGTAATCGAGGTTTTTGTCATTGAAAGTATGGCAAAAACTGCAATTACATTCACACCAACCTAAAATACAGGTAATTCTCTATAATGTTTAGGTGCATTATAAATTAAATGTAATAATTTTATTTGAATCTTATGACAGTTTATTAAGTTTTATCACATAAATTACTTGATATTCAGCCTGATCTTGTTAATTAGGCAATACTCCTTTGCATCTGTTTTTTGTTTGTTTGTTTGTTTGTTTGCTTTTTAAGAGATAAGATCTTGCTCTGTCACCCAGGCTGGAGTGCAGTGGTATGATCATAGCTCACTGCAGTCTTCAACTCCTGGTCTTAAGCAATCCTCCTGCCCCAGCCTCCCTAGTAGCTGGGATCACAGGCATGAGCCACTGCTCCCGGCCCTTTACATCTTTAGATAGTAGGTACAAGAGGTGATGTCTGGAGCTCTTAGGGAGCCCCCAAGGCCCTGTAAGTAATGAGCGACATAATCCAGTGGGGTTCTGGGTTTCAGAGGCTGCTCAGTGCTTCCCCCCAGATGAAGTTTCCTCCTCTCCCACTCTGGGAGGAATTTGTCTCACGTCGTGTTCTTCCCAGTTCTCGTCCGTGGGGGAGCCAATGCCAGGAATTATCTCAAGATACTTTTGCCACTGTGTGTCCTCTGATCTCAATTTTTCTTGTTCTCAATCATTTTTCTGCTGCTTCTCTGACTCTTGTTCAGAAATATATCATTGCATAAATAAAAATAATTAAAACCAAGGGATGCTGAAAGGTGAAATAAAGGATTATTTTAACCTGCTGACTATAGTCAGGGCTTAACCATAGGATCCTGTTGTCAACTGCACAGTATACTTATAATATTGAAAATATAAATAAATACACAGAAATCTCTACAATCTGTGACTATTGAATGATATGACATTTAATCGCTGGCATTTATGAGTCTCTCCCTATTTTTTTTTTGTTGTTGTTGTTTAGTCATTTGGATTTGGATTTCTGTAGTATAAATAATGCTGCAATGAACATCTTTAAACATTTACCTTTTCCTTCTTGGAAATCATGCTCATAATAGAGATTTCTGTAAATGTATTACTAAGTTTAATGTTATAATTGATTTTTTATGGCTTTATTCCAATGACTTTCCCAAACAGTTGTGGCAAATAATGTTGCCATCATTTAGTTACTCAAATGACTCACTAGCATTTATTGTTATTTATTGTTATTTATTTATTTGAGATGGAGTCTCACTCTGTTGCCAGGCTGGAGTGCAGTAGCGTGACCTCGGCTCACTGCAACCTTCGCCTCCTGGGTTTAAGAGATTCTCCTGCCTCAGCCTCCCAAGTAACTGGAATTACAGGTGCCCAATCACCACTCCTGGCTAAGTTTTGTATTTTTAATAGAGACGGGGTTTTACCATGTTAGTCAGGCTGGTCTCGATTTCTTGACCTCGTGATCCGCCCGCCTTGGTCTCCCAAAATGCTGGGATTACAAGCGTGAGCCACCGAGCCCAGCCTGTATATTGCTATTTTAAAGAGGAAACGATGCCGTTTCATTAGTTTATTAAATAGGAAAAAGCTATGGATAATAATGAAACCTCATGGCTCCATGGAATGCTTAATATTTGGCAAATGTTAATGAAGACAAACTCCAAACAGCACTTACATTAATCTTGCGAACGCCAAGGTCACGGTGCAGGCCCACATCATACATTGCCTGGTTGCTATCTTCCATATGTTCTCACTTAATCTTTATGGTGATATCCAATCGCTTTAATATAAAACACAGACTGATTCATATTCTGAGCCTTACCTGTCTCTTAAATCTAATCTCTGAGTAAACCCACATCATGCCCTCTGTGTTCCCATCCCCCATCTGGTGGCCCCTCTGCCCCATCCTGTCTTTTTTGCTGCCCACCTCTACTTTTTCCGGGTCCTGAACACAGAAACAAAAAATTATAGAATTCTGGGAAACACCTGCCATAATAATATATTGTTTGATTTTCCAGCATTTATTTACAAGTTTCAAAGCTACAGGCTCACTCCAATATTGTCAGTGGTTAAGGAATTTACATATAAAATTGAAATTTCCATTTCACTTCATTCTCCACAGGAAAAGTCCCTCTGCAGAAGCTCGAAGCCTTTATTTTATGAGTTGATTTTCAGTTGATTGTGAGGACAATGACCGGTGACCTCATGCTCTTTAAAAACTCATTGTGTTGCCTGGCGCTGAGGGTTGGTTTCAGCAGAATTACATGACAGGGAGGAGGTTCTCCCAGAACTGGTGCTACACAGTATGGTTTTGCTGCTGTATTAGGAGCAGGTTCCCAGTCTAATGGGAACTACCTTTATGGATAAAGCTGTGCCTAAACATTCAAAGATGCTAGAGAGGGCTTCTGCTGCTTCGAGTACTCACACCGTCTTCAACAGAGTGGGCGAGAGGAGTCTGCACAATGGCTCATTTAGCTTTAAGATTACAGTATCGGATGACACCTAATTTATGGATTAGTTACTTCTTACTAATTAATGAGTAAATGTTTAAACCACACAGACTGCAGACATTGATTATCTCTTGTCTTACCTAGAGTTTATTCTAGGGAACATAAAAGACACAATGATAAAACACAATAAATCATGTTATAAAAAACGGTACTGACAGTAGTCGCCAGCTTAGGGATTATACAGTTTTTTTTGTTTGTTTGTTTGTTTTTTTTTTAGAAAAAGACTAAAGAGACTGGAATGGATTTTCCTATTATATAAACAGTTAGTTAAACAAAACAATGACATATTTCCCAGTCAGGAGTACTTAGACTGGTAGTATATTTCCTGTTTAAAATGGAATTATTAGGTACATGTTCACCCAACATTCTTTGTGGGCCCCTTTTATTATTTGTATTACTTTTTCTGGGGGGGGGTGCGGTGGGGAACGGAGTCTCGGTCTGTCGCCCAGGCTGGAGTGCAGTGGCGTGATCTCAGCTCACTGCAACCTCCGCCTCCAGGGTTCATGCCATTCTCCTCCCTCAGCCTCCCGAGTAGCTGGGACTACAGGTGCCCACCACACACCTGGCTAACTTTCTGTATTTTTAGTAGAGACAGGGTTTCACCATGTTAGCCAGTGTGGTCTTGATCTCCTGACCTCATGATTCACCCGCCTCGGCCTCCCAAAGTGCTGGGATTACAGGTGTGAGCCACCACGCCTGGCCTGTATTACTTTCTTAAATAATTTACATCATATGCCTTTTTTCCATAGTAAAGATTATCAAATTTATTTTTGGTATGTGCTACATTCCTTTTAAAGAGCACACTATTTTATTAAATGCATATGGTTATAATTCTACTACTAATAATAACATCCAGTTGGACTGGATGGCAACTGACTCCTTAGAAAATATACATTATTAAACTTATATCCAACAACTTCATCTTAAGCAGCTACATATGATGACACTCCTCCTTCAAATTCCGGAGTAATTTAACCTCTCAAATATATGCTTTATTTTGTCTATTTGTTTCTTTCAGCCTATGAATTACAGAACTGTCCAGATCCACCCCCATTTCAGAATGGGTACATGATCAACTCGGATTACAGTGTGGGGCAATCAATATCTTTCGAGTGTTATCCTGGGTACATTCTAATAGGCCATCCTGTGCTCACTTGTCAGCATGGGATCAACAGAAACTGGAACTACCCTTTTCCAAGATGTGATGGTAAGTTCATCATTTCGCTTGGGGGCAATTTAATGTTTCATGGGCATAATAGCACATTAAATATTAAATGAACATATCCAATAATGTATTAATGTATTCAATAAATATTCATTGAGAATCTATTATGTTTTACTCACTCTACTTAATATTTAAGGAATATGTCATATACTAGTAAGTTAAAAGTGGAAAAGAAACCCTTGTTGCCAAGGAAATTATAAGGATAGCAAAATAGTAAACACAAGAGGAATGTTATACTCAGCTGCAGGTAAGGAGATGGCACAGGCTTGGCAAGCCATCAGGGAAATCTCCGTGAAGTCAGCAGCATACAGCTTTACAGTGGTTATATCAAATTGTCGGACCAGAGGGAAAAAGGGTACTTATTAATTTGATCTTTGGTATTTATTTTTGTTTAGCTTTTACAATAATTGTATATTGCTTTTGCATTTCAGAAAAATGAACTCATTTTTGTAGTGTGCCTTGAAAGGTACATAGCATTTTGCTACTTGGAGGTGGAACACTCCAGGTAGAAGAAACAGTGTCAGAAAAAGCGCAGTATAGATACAGTCTTAGGAGAAAACAGTAGAGTGGTCTAATAGTGTAGGAGGAGGGGCTGTTGGGAGAGGTTGGAGGCAAGTTCTTGTTCAATGGTGCAACAGAAGACCTGGTCTCTTTAGCTGTCCTTTCCTGAGCGGGAATCCTGTCTTTAGTGCTTCTGTGTGACTGCCTAATTTTTATGATGACTTTGACATTTTTTCAATATCAAATTAAAATAATAGATCCATACGATGTTTAGGAAGAATGCATATGTAATAGAAAATTGACTGTAAACCCGATATTCTAACACTATGCATACAGGGCCTTTGAATGAAAAAATAATGAAATTACCAATTCCGTGGACCTTTGAAATACTAAACACTTGTATCCTGTGGGGAAAAGGGAAAGACATCTGGCC